ACCTGGCTAGCGGCAGGCCAGCTGAAATGTTTGCTGAAGTATTCTTCCCAGCGATCAAGTTGCGCAATGGTTACAGTGCATCCTCTACAAGGGTCTAATTTCGATCGTGCGACCGAGTGATACAGTCAATAAGGCTGAAATTGTACTGCATGCGAAACTTCAGGACTAAGAAGGATTGCCCAAAGTACACGCCTTCCTATCCTCCCACCTCTCATCTATTTCATCTCTTATATCCCTCACGCACTTTCTTCAGGAACTTCTGATGATAGCACTGACAGGGTTGCCCTAGATAGAAACCTGAAGCTGTTTTCGTGCGTTCTAACTCAACTAGCGTCCAAGCTTTAACGAATCCACTTCAATTGGCTGAAGCTCTTCTAGATGCATTTTCAAATTAGCTCGATTGACGTGCGATGCGCATAGAATAAGGTGTTTAGCATATGCGCGTGAGACCCTCACCATCGTTGTCTTATCCAAGAGATTCGCACTCAGCACTAAGCTTAGCGCATTCGAATGGCGGCACTGCATAACCAGTGTAGGATATTCCTGTTAAACTTCGATAGAAACCCTGAGGCTGTTTCTCGTTCTTGCTGATGTTGGCATGGCTCTCGGTGGCCAAGCTCTTGGATTGGGAAACCAGTCGAGAGACGCAAACCGTTCCGCACGAACCCATGCACAGAAGTCCAGATACCGATAAAGATATCTTCGATAATAAACTATACTACCTCTTCACACTGCGACCCGGGCTGATACCGAGATCTTAGCAGATATGAAGGTTAGAGAACGTCGGCTGTCTTCGAGCGAGAAAAATTGGAGCGGCTGCTGTTTTAACAGCCAGCTGTTCTTAGCCAGTACGAACTTCAGACTATCCGATCGTCGGCACGCCATTTGACATTAACAAATCTCGAGCCAGGGACGAACGCAAATCGACCGCACTGTTATCAACTGAAAATGGCGGGGCTGTTTACAAGATTATCGATCGTACTGGAGCCCTCCCCTCAAAACCGACCACGTATTAGTTTGCACAGAGCTGTCCATGTGCTTTAACGGGCGTCCCAAACATTTGACAAAGTGAAAGCTAAACTGGGATGAGCTGTCTCAAACAGTATGCCCAACCGCTTTTCAGAACGCATTAATTGAAAACCTCGAACCAACCTCACTGACAACGTCAATCGGTACCAATCGCTTTTGAGCAGTGCGTGCATTTTCCTGCCCTAGCTAGTTGTGCTATGACACTTCGCGTTGACACCCCGGGTTATCGTTGCGTCTTGAACTCGGACATCGATCGATCCCGGCCAACAGCATGTATAACGAACGACGACTCGCAACGAGACGTAAAATCAACGTAAGCCTGCACAGAGACGCCAAATCTGGTGAACTCAACGCCTTTGAGGGAGGACATACTGCCGATATGGGAACCTCCTTCAACTTGACCTCAATACTCCGGGTTACCGGTGCGAGAGCCCTGGGTAAGAGCGAGACGATTCAAGAAGCTGGTAAATTCCTTATTCACAATCAACGTTTTGCACGCTGGAGGGAATACTTTGGGGCAAGTTTAGTCGATCACCAGCCTCAGCTTCTCTAATGTCTCACGTTCCGTGGTCTGCTACCCAGATCCAACCCGAGGCAGAAATCCGAAAAAGGATTCAAGTTTTTGGGGCGTTACATCGCGCCGAATTCCGATGACCTTCATTCAGATCCATTTAAGAATTGTAGCTTGAGGCTTGGCAGAGAAATCCTCTATCTATCCTCCAAGTTTTGGAACACTAAGCAGGTCACATCCATGTGAGGGGAATCGATTACCGTCCTTATCTTTTAGAAGAGCCCTCACCGTAAATGCGTCACCCACAGGCGTAAGTGAACAACTTCAGTGAAGTCCAAACTGTTAGTGTTCACCAGCCTCCACAGGTTGCAAGATGCGTTTGAGGGGCAGACAGGGTGTAGCATCAGTCAACTCTTTACCTTCCGCAAATCGCAAGAGTACGCTCGTATGCCAGAGACCAACAATCACCACTTTCGCAGACATTCATGGAGCCTTCAATGCATCATTTACATTGTAAAGGGGAATATAGTCGACTTCACCGATCGCTGAGAAATTCATATTGATTACCAGGCGGGCATCTGCTAGCTCTCCATTGATTATTGCAAGACACCCAAAGAAGTCTGGCAAATTGCATACGCTTGAAATTGACCTATTACTGAGATGGCAACTGGTTTGTCATAGAAACTCCACTTGCGATCTTTCATCACTTTCATCTATTGCCCCTACTCCCGCGTTATTCCTGTGAAATTCTACCCACGAGCTGCATATTCATTAACCTCCTCGCGTCTTCAGCCGTTGTCTACACGCTAGAGAAGCATAGCTTGGCTTCCCTCATTTTGCACGTGTCGCAACGCACTATCTCTCTCTCTTCGCTCGGAACTCCTACACCGGGGAACATGAATACTGAAATTTTGGGGACTTCGTTATACCCTTCGGAGCTCGATATTAAGTTGGATACACCCCAAGGTCGTACCTGTTGCTTACATGCAGCATGCACTTAGAGTACTACTCAAACTAATTGGGAGTAGATGCAAATTACCGTGATATTCATTGAACAGTACACGACCGCCGGCTTATTGGGGGTTAGACAGGTGGTTTTAAAAATCATTTGCGTCACCACTAACATCAGTGTCGAATTTTCTGAATGATTAAGTGGAAGTTGAGGAATAGATCTCCTTTGGACAGTAGCGTTACATGCAGAAACAGCTTCAAATATCGACAGACAGCAGGAATAATGAATTCTTTGGAGGAGTTTAGAGATTAGTGTGCTCGATTGAGTCAACGGCCGCCCGTAGATCAAGTAAAACACCAGCGTTGGGCCATTTCCCTCAACAGTTTAAGGTACTGGTGGTGCTGACGAATGAAATACCTACGTCCCATAGTTAAAAAATAAGAATATATCACGTCTGACACATTTCAAGACAGTGGTCTTTACGTGTGAAATGTTATCGTCGGGTGACCGCTGGCGAGACTGAGTGGGTTGAATTCTTTATTATGAGGGCTTACCTTCGCTGTGTGAACCGGTAGAGCGGCGTGCACACACTACTCCTCGGAGACGGCCTAATCAAAAAGAAAACTCAAAGCAGCCAACTGCTAACATCGCAAGGAAAAATCGATAACCTCTACTTCGAAGTTGGTTATTTTCTTTCAGCCACTACTTCCCAGATGAAGAATAAACTATGCAGACAACCGCTAGAGGCAGAAAGCGACAAGGCTACAAATGGGTGTACTCCAGTCAAGCACAGAACGACCGTCCGAAGTAACACTTCATAAACTAAAAGGCAGTTGTTATCGTAAAAGCAATGCTAACAAGCACTGAGTCCGACGAGTAACGCCCGGAACCGACAGACTACAGGCCACCATATACTTGGAGCATGGATGAAATAATCCGACTACTTTCGTGGCTCACCCTGGCCTGTTACTAATCGATCAATTTGACATGGGAAACCGTCTCGACCAAATCCAGATGGGGCTCGAATGAAATGACGTTTGAGCCTTCCCCTAGGTCTGAGTGCTACTGGAGCTTCCCACGACATTGGTATACCCAGGAAGATCTTGTAGAATAAGTAACGAATTCCAGTAAACTACTAGAATTTAAGGGTCCTACTGGGGAAAATAAAGTATGATTCAGAACTAACCCTGGTCACGTTATACGGCACATCAGTGCTAGGAATCAGCTTCCAACCGTCTGATGAGTTCTGAGAAAAGCACTCTGATACATCGGACCAGTTTTGAGGAGCTGATGGCAAGATCCCAAGTCCCAAATCTGGCATTTCATCAAACCAACAGCTCAATATCCGGGATACATACCACTGAAATGTCCACATTTCGCATCTCGTTGAGAACCGCTGCTGTAACGGATACGTCCACCCAGGCAGGGAAGCAGTTCTCTGAAACCGGTTAACAGTTACTGGTTGGTATACACTATGGAAACGGACCCCACGGCACACCGAACGAAATAGACCTAAGCTTTTGAACCTTACGGAAACACGAAACGACTCGACCGAAAAACCAAGTAAAACGTAACCAACGATGACAATCCCAACAGCAATTCTACCTCACTAAGCNNGGGGGGGGGGGCTAAAAAGGAACCATGTTCACCGTTCACCGACCCGGAGACGGTCGTTTACAAAGTAGTCTTCCTTCGCTATGAATCTTTTGTCCAGACCGCATATCCGGTGACCCTAAATCTACTTTACTCACGGTTCACCGTCATATTGGTGGCTAACTCAATACCCCCGATCGAACGACAACCAAAACTGTCGCACGAAAAACCACGGCTCATAGTTGTGTTAATAAGAGCTGAAGCTATTCGCAATCTAGGAAAGCACTGGTTATACACAGCACCGCAGGTGATTCGCCTGATAGAAGGCTCTATACAACCTAGGAAACCGACTTCGTTAACACTCACCATGGATCGCGCTACATCAATGATCATCAGTACAAATCACCTAATCGCAAGTGTTTGGCCTGCCCAAAGTACAGTCGGCCGGCTCTTATATTTTATATCTACAAGTGACGGACGCACTTCAGGAAACGGTCGGCTGAACCGATCAGGACGAGACGACACTGCCGAATCAGGGACAGTAGCAAACTCTATTTTCAATATCGCCAAACAGAAAATGAAACAATAACTGCTGTACAATGTAATAGTTTATTTCTAACCGGCAGGACTAACTTTACACCACAACCGCACATGCGCAGTAACGGTTGTCAGGACTAACATCAGGGCCGGGGTTGAAACCAACTTTTCGCTCGACTGTAGTCAGCACAGGTGACCTACGAGATGCCAAAATAAAGGACCGACCTTCATCAAGAAAATGATCGCCGAGGTTCCATACAATAATAGGCTCCTCACTGACCGTCAAATCTGAGTACTGAAAGGCTTTGGCATTAAAGATCGATGAACCAGCCTCGACAGTTTAGTCCAGGCCGAATATGTACAACAGTGTGGGCGCACTCAATGGCCCTGAGAGAGATTGGCAGCACCACCGGAAGCTATGGCAGCCATTGCTTGATAGGCACTCTGGGTCATCGCTTGTTGGTTGAGATGCTGATTCGCGTTCAGTTGTTGTGCATGCACAAATTGCGCTTGCGCAGCATTAAACTGCGGTAGAAGATGCTGAGGCTGACAGGTCATCTGCTGGAATTGCGCATTCGACAGCTGCTGTGAATTAAGCAACGAAGGATCTACAGTGCCCTGTGGATGTCCACCTGGTGGCGGCTGAGCGTTGGACGCGGATTGGTTTACCATTGGTAGAACGCCGGCCGGATTGATCGAGTTAGGTGCAGCCAACATCGCAGGAGAAGGATAATAGCCAGCGTTCGGTTGGTTGGGGGCAAACATCAAACCCGGGGCATACTGGAAGATTGGAATTGGATGGCCATGGTCTGGAAAATGTCCCAGAGGGAATGGCTGGTGCGATGGTTGCTGGGGCGTGG